CACTTCTTTTCGTAGTTCTGCAAAATCTGTAAAGTTTCTAATGTGGGCTCAATTTATTTAACCTCGATAACTAGGGTGCAGGTTTCGATATGCTCTATTGACCTGCTGTTCCATGGTGCAGGTGTTAAATTTTCGACAAGTAGGCTGTCACGTCCTCGCTTGGCCCTTGCTTGTGCCTATTGATCTCTGTCACTAGCCTTTCCACCAATTCTCCAATCCCAAATTGTAATCTAAAAGTATCCACCATTTCCCAAATTTACCTCCACAAAAATTTCTCCCTACGGAACCAGTGGTTTATTTCCGCGTCTAGTACCGCTGGAAAAAGCCAGTGATACATCTTCTAATGTTAACTCATAGGTTAGCGTACACTCACACAGCTTTGCTATGAACTCCTTCAAATCATCTCGACTAGTGTTGCGGAACTCTATTCCCCATTTGTAAAAATATCTACTGTTTGTAATTCCCCCCTAAAATCTGTACTGCCCCGTTGCCTATTTAATTGGTTATCCATGTAATCCACTTGGTAAAAATTTGGTTGCCTATGCATCTAGTGATTTCTTTCGTAACCTGAAGTGTATCTTCTTGAGGTGTCTAATGCATGTTTGGGAGGATGTTATCGCATTTTCTCTGAAGCGTAGGCAATATCCCTGTAATGCCTGGATTCATTGATATTTTAAAGATTTACTTACGGTAATCAAAGACTTGGACTTTGTCTGTTCGCTCCTCTAGGGGCGTCTTGTAAATCTTGTTGGAGCATATCCGGGTGAAACTACTGTTTTTGTGTCCTTCTTTGCTAGTGGATTGTCAATGGGGCTTTGGACCTTCCTCATTTCTCATTCAACTACCCCATTAAATATTTTCCCACGTTCTCTCTTCGTCCCCCTGAATGGTCATTTTTCCCTATACCAGAATCTCCTGTTGTGGTACTAGGCATTCTTCTCCCCTCTCCCACTAGCTGAAGTACCCACCCCAGGTCACCACGTTCCCTGTATGTTCTTCTAAGCTGCATATTGTCGATGAGAAAATCTTGAGTGTTTGTGCTGCGTATTTTACTTAAATTATTTGTACCCTGTGGCATTTGTTCATTGAGTGGCTCGATGGACAATATCAATAGTAACAGCTGGTTCTTTAAAATTCTTATAACTTGTTGCCGGACTTTATATTCAAAGGTGTTTCTGTCCCTTTTCAAATTCTCTATTTTTCTTCATTCACTAGTCGTATTTAGCAGTAACATAGCGCACCTTCTATTTCTGCTGGGTACTTGCGGTAGCAGTGGGCAAGGTAATTCTTATCTACCTGTCAGGTACAATTGATCTTCTAGATGGAACCATCTATTCGTTGGATTGTTATAAGAAAGCCAAATGTAATATTTCACGAGTCTATCTCTAGTTTTGGCACCCAGTCCCTGGTACGCTGGATTCAGATTTTCTTAATATTTCATCACCTGTTCTTCCGATGATGCCTCCGCTGTCCGTTTAATTACTTGCCCACCTGCTAATGGGTCGAAAGATGTCAATTCATCTCCTAACTTAGATTTTGTATTAAAACTGAAGTCTAAACCACTATTATTGAATCCTATTGTGATTTACCTAGTATACTCTTGGGGCAGAATATATAAAAAAAATATAAACAGAGAGAAGGAAGAAGACTATTTAAATAGAGAGGGAGAGAAAAAAAAATGAAATTTAGTAATGATCAATTAAAGAGAAAGGAAACAAAAGATAATTCTAGTATAAGGAGAAAAATTTAATGGTCAGAAAGAAAGAGTTATTGTGTGTTGAATAGAGGAAAAGAAGACAAAGAGACAACGGAAAATTCTTTTTTTTTAGTTACGGAAGAGAAAGAGAGAAGAGAAAAAAAAGTCTTATTTTCTAACAGGCATAGTGGTACGGGCTGTTAGGAGTGGTAATAGCAAACGTGTTCAAAATCTAGTACATATTAATAATTAAAAAGTTTTTCATAGCATGAATAGAATCGTTAAAAAAAAGTTAATATTAATGGAAACATGCAAGCTAAAATAAAATAAAATGTGTTCTGTGCTTGTATGTAAGCTGCGTATATTGTGTATTCGTATAATATCTGAAAACACGTATGCTACAGTAGCAGCGTTTTGGTCCAATAATGGCAGCCAAAATGCCGAGAAAGTAGTCGTCCCGCTTATTTCCGCTAAATCTCTTTAAGCGTAAAGAACTGTGGTGAACGCCATTCGTAACACGTTAGCCAGGGATTGCGACGAACGTGTATAATTATTACTTTGATAATAAAACTACTGTCTTCTTGCTCCTTTGCCATAATTAAGGAAATTTAAATGAAAAAATTTGGAATCTTGGAGCATGGCTATTTATTTCATATATTAGTTGGACAATGTGATCCAATATTTCGGAGTCATCCTGACTCCCTCTTCAGGGAATTGTACAGTTGTAAATTGTACAGTTCCCTGAAGAGGGAGTCAGGATGACTCCGAAATATTGGATCACATTGTCCAACTAATATATGAAATAAATAGCCATGCTCCAAGATTCCAAGTTTTTTCATTTAAATTTCCTATAATTATTACTTTTGTTCACGAAGGAACTACTTATAGATATGTTATTCGGGAGAAGATCAGGTTAGTATATGTAAGGTGCAGCGCTGGATGCAGCAACAGGTAGTATCGTATACCTAGCAAATCTGGATAGCTCTTTTTTATGTATCAGAAAGTATTCCGTAATACTACACACACTAAGATACTATCCTGTTTTAGCTGCACTCAGTGCTACACAAAACGAATTAAAACACAAGACTATGTAGAAATAATGAATGTTCATGTACCTACATCAATAATAGCTACTTTAATTATAATTTCAACGCTGCACACCACAAAGGCGACAGTTCGTGTGTCATAACGTGCTGTATTGATATGCTACACTTGGAGTTTTACATGTATGCTGTAATTACAATAGGAGACTCAGGCTAAATCTATAGTTGCTAGGATAGGGTGATTAAGACGACCACTCTCACGCATCAATAGCCATAGCACCAACACTAAATGCTCTCACTTACCAGGGTTGGCTCCGGCGGAGTGCTTATTGATGCCTCTAGCAGTGTTAACAGCGTCGAGGGCACCGAGAACCTGGATGATCGTGTGAGGGCTGGCTCGCGTGTGTGTGTATGGCATTTGGTCTGAGCTTCACGACGTCGCAGTAACTCAGCAGGCAAGATTATACTAAGACCACGCCACACTGCTCCAGTGCTAACCTCACAACAAGCTCAAGTGTTTTTCTTGTCCCACGGCGCAAGCGCAACGTATGCTATGCGGCCCACTGCACACTATCAACCAACGTAGCCCTATACAGTCGTCACCAATACTGGGATTACTCCTGGGACACTGACACTGACTGCTGTCGTTTTCAGATCTACTCCCTTAACATCTCATATACACACATACACACACACCTCTGGCATACCGGTAGGAAGTACGGGAGAAGAGTCACGCCGAGCTCTACAGCTACTCTTAACGCTAGGGACACCTGGCTTCACACAGGGATTTTGTTACTAGATAATTAAAAATAAAAAAAATTAATAGATTTTGTATTTAATCTCCCTGTTGGGTAAAATTTAAGGTAATAGTGTGGAGCCTGGGTGGGAGCACGTCTTCTGTTATATAGCCGCGTTTAATTCTATTTTAGAATATTTAACTATTTAAAAAAAAAGTCAATGCTTGCTCTATGATTATAACGTTTTTATGGTCATTATCAAAAATAGAACAAAGAAATATAAAATTCTTTAGAGTTTCTTTAAACTGAAAATAGAATGTCTTTTTTCTTTAATATTTTTGATGAAAACATTTACTGTTTATCTAATCGTATGTTACTTATATCTTGTAATAAGTACGAAAATTTTTAAAACAATAAGATTTCAAATAATATTGTTCGGAAAAATTAGACTCGTTGTAGCATGAGAAATGAAGTTGTGAACATGTATGATTGAACTATTTACATAAACTTTCTAATCATCATATGAAATTGTATTTGTGATGGCTTACTACCTCCTAAGTAAAATTTAAAAATTAGAACAATAGGTTTGCTGATCCGCAATTTGAAAGCTGCTGTTAGTTCATTCACCGAGAGCTCATCGACTGTAACGAGCGGACGAGATCCCCTTGGCCCCGCAAGCGGTTATGACCGTGACACGATTCCAAGAAGCATAGTCGAAGCGAAATTGGTGACACCAATGAGTGGCGTCAGCATTTCACTTCTGACATCATCTTTAATGCTAGTTAAGGTAACGTGTGAGGCACGAAGCACCAAGTATTACACCCTTGAATCAGTTAATATATATATATGATCTTACAGGTTGAGGAGTGGCTTATTGGGGTAATGATTTTAAGCACGCTTCATAATACATTGCAGTTGTATGGTTTTTTTTAGATAACTAATATTAAGACAAATGTGAGTGACCGTGAACTTGTGACAATATTACATACAAAAGAAACGATGTAATCTAACAACATTTATTCATTGCCCTGTCCTCCATAAGGGAGTCAGGTAGGTAAATTTATTGCTATGCATACTAATTTCAATAACTATTAAGGCCTGTAATAGACGTCTAAGACCACGGTAAACAATAGATTATTTTGAAAAAATTTGAGCTTTAAATTGCAGTTTAAGGCCCCACGCACAAAGTATGTCTGTTTACTAATAGTTCAGGAAAAGAAACCGCAGGTAATATCTTGTTCTGAAACTTGAACGTATATGTAGATATATACTTTGTACTGCGATTAATAGTTTTTTTACAAATTTTATATGCTCGAAGTTTAGTTACGCAGAAATCTTTCTAGAGTAATATGAAATGTTTCTCTCGTTGCTTAGAATTTACGTATATTTCTTCATCAGTTACTCTAGGCAATAATAATGAGAAATAAACTACAATTATAATTTAAAATATAATGGCTTTCAATTTTATTTATTTAATAAAAAATTATGTATTTCATAGTTTATAAAAATAAACTAGTACTTATGGGCTGCATAATCCATGGTATTTTTTTAAGAAACAGTAGTACCGATGAAGTGCAATGCGAAGTTTCCTAATCGAAACAAAACTGGTTTTTTTTAAAGTAAAATGAAAAATGTCGTTTCAAATGATATAGTTAGTTGTAAATTTGAATATATTATCACAGAAATTTTATAGTAATTCCATGCATGGTACACTGTGACTAGTTTTAATAAAGTATAAATTATGTTTCCTGCACTATGTTAACCTTAAACATTAATTAACTTTTGTAGATAATTTCTTTCCATGAGACGACTGCTCTTTGACTGTCTGGAGCTTCGGCGAATGGTTTAAGTCCATCAGGTGTTATGTAATGGTTCACTTGATAATCAAGCAGTACTTCATATTTAAATATTTCGGAACCTAGTTGCTGTAAAAATAAAAACAAAAAATATTTTAATACGGGTAGTAAGAATTCATACTAAAAATTCTTAACGTAAAAATTTTTATAGTAATGGAATTATTGTTCTATTTGAACACACACACACACGCACGTACACAAGCTCCCTCTCTTTCTTGCATACAAACCCACCAACACACACACACACATACACAGGCACAAAAATCTTCTCTTAAGATGTTTTGCAATCATTAACTATCTTCTTATACTTCTAAGCTCTTGAAAAAAGTCTGACTACAATATAATAAGAACGATTTGTTTATCAATCTAAAGCTTTAAGGCAAGTGAAGAAGCAGTCAAGATATCCTATTTTTTACAAGATTTTATTAATGTGTCCTCATTAAAATAGAATCGTTTTTTTAATGTTATACCGAACCTTGATTTGCATACTCACATATGTCTTTGCCTCTCAGAAAAACCAATATTCCTACCAATAACACTTCATCTTAACCCAAACTACACCAGTCTGCATTTCAACGAATCTGGCTAGATCTAGAATTATCAATATCTTTTTATAGCCGTCACTCACATAGGCACCCTTTTACACACCTACTGACCCTAAGTTGCACTACCCATATAAGATTTATTCGGGAGTAGAGCATCAAATGAGTTAGGTAGTTATAATAAATAAAAACCTTTTGGGTCAGTAGACAATATTTTATGAATTTCATTATCTTATATTAACTCCGTTACCACCATCGTTTCTTACTCAGATAATAACCAGAATCTTTAATTACTTAACTTGAAACCTTTAGTAAAATGTTGTATTTGCTTTCATTTAAAAAAAAATTTAACTTATAATTTAGCAAAATATGTAAATCGGAAGATTTTTAAGACTTGCTTAAAAAAACTAAAAGAATTTTAGTTGAATATGATATGCACGCTGCGTAAGACGTTCAGAACCCTTAAGCTTTTGTAAAAGCAAAAGGTATGATTCATTAAAGTATAGTTTTTCTTGTTAAAGTCATTGCTATCCAACTTAGAAGCCACTACCTTTTACATAATTACAATAGACAATCGTTACGCTGACGCACTCAAATATCTGTAGCGTGTCATTAACAAAATAAAACTTACTTTCACCACCCATAGTGTGAGCAAACTAGACCAAAAATACCTCAATTTAATGAAAATACAAATTGGGTCAGAAAAATTTTTTTTTGTATGGATTTCGAGCCCAAAAACATACGCAACTACCTAAGCACTGAAAAAAATGCCGGTAATAGGTCCAAAAAATGATAAAAATGAAAAAAAAAAATCAATTACTTCTATCGGAAAAGCTAAAATTCAGATGAAAGAACGTTGTGCATTAAAAAGATGCGCAGCTTGAAGACAAACAAAACGAACCCTAGTAAACTCAAATTAGTTCTACCATTTTTCTGCAAATTGTCAAAAAGTGGCAGTTTCACCCTGTTTTTCGGTAGTTTGTAACTGGCGTTCTAATTTACACTTTTAATCTAAATTTTAACAAAAAATTGATTTTGTAACTTTCAACAACCCTACAACATTTTAAGACTATAGGATGATAATTTTTTGCCAACCGTCAAATAAACTAAAAAAAGGTCCTTCCATGAGACGGTTTTGAGAGTTGTTAAACCAGATAGAACCACTTTTCAAATTCTCTTCTCTTACTTAGATTTTAATTTAACTATAATCGAAATATAGTGCACATTACCAGCTGTAGCACTGGCTTGGGCTCGCCACTGATTTAGTTCATACCCTCTTCTTCGCAGTACCGTCGGGCGCATCATTGATCCAGTTGCTTCAAACTGACACAGTCATAAAAAATTATCAATATTCCCTAATCAAAGCATTGTGAAGTGATCATTTTTTTTTTTTAATTTAGAGTAGATCGTGATAATATTAAGATAGCACGTACCAACATCATTTTAGTATTAAACATGTGTGGTTCAAACATAGTTTTCCATTTAATGCACTCTGTTGCTTCGTCTATTAAATCTTTATAGTTTTATAAATGGTTATGAAGGTGATATTAGAGGACACCGTTGTATAAGCAATAGAGAAAACCATAAGTAAGTGTCTAAAAATTATTTTTAGTAATTATAAAGAAATTTTTTAATTGTTACAATTGCTATAAATTATTCTAGTCTATCATAAATCATCATTATGACTTTTCGGTACGTTATAGGTAACGTAAGTATCTAAGGGCAGCTTGAGAAAAAGTAGACGAAAATATGGAAGTGTTAATAATGTTACACTATATTTGTATCAGCTTTATTTATCACTGTAATGTTGTTGATATGAGCAATCTTAATACTATCACGCGCTACTTCATACTAAAAAAAAAATATCACTTTACAATGCTTAGATCAGAGTTTAGTGATAATTTTTCCTGACTGTGTCAATGAAAGCAACTTGCTTGAAAACACTGGTAGTTTGCGAAACAACACTAGTTTTTAGTGCATTTTTAGAACACTTATGGAAAAATTAGGGATGCAAAGATTAAACTAGTGTTGAATCAGAGAGCAGCGTTGGCTCATGTCAGTGATAAACGTGCTTGTCACTAATACAACGATTTTCCAGAGATCGTGGGTTTGATTTCTGGTAAATGCAGATTTTTTCCAAAACTGTTTTCATCGGGAAAAGTTCCTACGAAACCCAGGCTGTTCCGGGCAGGTTTTTCCGTAGAACTTTCCTTCAGAGTAATTCCAGGGTTTTTTCCCTGCCCTACAGGTTTTCAGGCCTGGGTAAGAGTTTTTTCTAGGGAAAGGCTACACAGTGCGAGTGGACTCAATGCACCATTGGTGCAGAGAGTGTCAGCTTAACTGGCAAAATGTTCCACCAGAGACACTCGCACTGTGCCCATGAAATAGGTATGATATCAGTAAAAAAATTAGAAATGGGTGCGGCAATACACCCCCACATATGGGTGGTGAGTGGGTTGCCCCGGCAACTAAGCCAGTAGGCTGTCACGGTATCCCAGTTGAAAAAAAATTTCTTAAAACTACTGTTTAATTAAAAAAATAATTAAAAACAGGCAGTGTAAGAAATGTCTGTATCTGATCTATTAACTTTTTTAGAGCCATTTCTAAAAGGACCTTCTTTTAGTTTATTTAACGGTTTGAGAAAAGTTAAATTCAGTAGAGCTCATTTCGTTCAAATTGCGCATTTCTATTGTATGCTCAACGTTTTTTTGTCCAAATTACAGATTTTCTGTTAAGAGCGGCAAACCTGTTTGAGCCATTTTGACTATTTTTCTCAGACCTACTGCTGACACTTTTTTTCAGTCGTTGTGTGGTTACATTTTTTGTTGGGCTCGAGATCCAAACAAAGAAATATTTTATCCTAGTCTGTATTTCTTCGGTGAAAATGCAGTTTGCTTACACTGTAAAAAACAACTAGCTTTATTAGAATTTTCGACTTACTTCTAAGTCAAAAAAACTTTTCCAACACCATAAATCTCGTGAACACTACAAAAATTTACAAACTTTCTACGTCATTATCTGATCTCATGGGCCCAGAACTGACCATTAGTGTTTGTGAAAACAAATAAATACTTGACATATTGAAGGATTTATTAACTTATAACACGCATCCTCCTTAAATAGTAAGTGCTGTCCGGAAATATTGAGCCATTGCTGTCTTTAACCAACAAATAAATAAACTGTTAATTGACGGCATAGAAATAACTTGAGGTTATTTCAAATCAGATTTTGAATCCTACCCATAACTACAACAGGTCAAAAATTAATATCTTATAAAAGGGCTATACTGGGTAATAAAAGCACAAGTAGGCCCTACGAGCAACCTTGAAACAGCTACCGCTTGAGCTATAGAAATAGAAGGAGAGCTCACGTGCTAGGAACGTGAACGTTTAGAAGAAACAGTTAAAGTTTTTACTTCTTTTAAAGTCTAGAAGATATAACAACCAAGAAATTAAAACTCCAAAATACGTCACACTAAGCGTACAATACATGACGCTTCAAATAAGTAAAACACACTTACTTCAAACTTTTAAGAGCTTGATCATTGAAATGAGACTAATTTGAAGAACGGAAAAGTTAATTAACATAAAAAATCACAATCATATGAGGTTAAGGAAAAAAGAGTGATATAAGAACTTCAAAATAAAAAAATCAAGAGCTCAAATTTCGTCAAAAAACCCTGACATCAGAAACTTGTGAAATCACAAGACAATGATGACCAAAAAATCATAAACTACAAAATCATCTGTCGTAAATATGTACATTTAAAAATTAACATAATTTGAACCCCTCTCTCCCAAAAAAAGTGAAACTGCTGATAATAGCAATTACACCATTACACTCAAGTCAGAAATTTCAGGAAAACTTTATCTTAAGTATCTTGAAAAATATACAGAACTCAAACACGTAAAATTTTAACACAAATAAAAGTAAAATGGGAGATTTAATCCTCAAAAGCCTCAAAGTTTCAAAAAAATTCCATGTATTATATAGTAAAGACCTTGAGTACGCTCAATACTAAGACTATTTACAAAAATTATCTAACACTATGTGCTTCAACCAACAAGGGCTTTAAGTCCAGCACGGACAGATAAAAATTCTTCCGTGACACTCCTCAAAATTTGATGGACAATCTGAATCTGTAATTTAATTTTTCTAGCAATTAAAAGAAGCTTTATATCTGCACTCTGACCAAAAGTAAAAGAAACTACTGTGCTTTCTTCAAATAAGTAAGTGATAATTATTACTATTACTTAATATTGTCTTTAATTTAGAACTTAAGATGGAATAAATCTAAAACTTATTTATACATGCACGTTGTCCCTTAACAGCCTTTACGTTTTTTTTTCTCAAAAGACTTTTCTAAACTACAACCGTCCTCAGTAAGTACATATGTTTATATTTTGGTAACAAGTTACACTTGGTAGACTTAATACTTCAGAGACTAAAAAAAAATTTCTACTTCTACCCTCTCTTTCTTAAATCTTTTTTAACAATGTAAGTTATGATTTATTGCTAATAATCTTT